TTTTTTTTTTTTTTTTTTTAATTTTAAAATAAAGTCTTATTTAAATTTTGTGAAGAAAAAAAATAAAATTAAAAAATTCATAAAAAATGGCTCAGTCAAATTTTCTTCTAAATTAGTCACGTCAAGATTAGTAAAGACTTTGAATCAATAACATAATTTAAAAAATTAACAAAAAAAAAAGAGAGAGACAAGAATGAGACTCTAATTTATATAAGTTGATGGAATGAAGAAAAAGAGAGACGAAACCCAAATTGCCATGTGGGACCTAAAATACGAGACACCACTGGCGAGGGAAGCTGAAGTGTCCTAAAAATAACATGTAGCCAATAGGCAGTGAGGCAATCTCACCTTATCCACACTCCTATCACAACTCACAACCTCTACTAACGCTACAATTGTCGTGTCACTCCTTACCACAAATTTTAAGCCTCAAATACAGCCACTAGGACTAAGCACCCCATTTTCCTTGCTAACTTTGGATCAACCATGTCTGCCATGAACTCTAGCACTGTCTTGGCCTGTAACTACGCCAGATCAGGATGTTCCGACCTCAACACAAAGCTCACTTCCATGCCTTCGCTTGCATCACCACCAGTATCTTGTCTCAAGTTGCCTGTGATCAAGGCTCAGCATGCTAAAGTCTCTGAATCTAAGTCAAACGATGGAAGGAGAAGTGCCCTTGTTTTCTTGGCAGCTACCCTTTTCACCGCTGCAGCCACTTCTTCTGCCAATGCTGGGATCATTGAAGAATACCTTGAAAAGAGCAAGGCCAACAAGGTCTTTTCAACCTCTTGCATGCATGTCTTTGCCACGGTTAACCTTCAGCTTTTCTTTTCATTCTTATTCAACTAGTTTTAATTATTTGACCATTGCCTCAGGAACTGAATGACAAGAAAAGGTTAGCCACAACTGGGGCCAATTTTGCAAGAGCATACACTGTGGAATTTGGCACTTGCAAGTTCCCTGAAAACTTCACTGGTTGCCAAGATCTAGCTAAGCAAAAGGTAAATATTTCAGTTTCAGATAGGAAAGTTGTTGAAACTTATTCAAAAGCTGTGTCTTTATCAAACTTGCACGACTGTGATTAAATTTAATTTTAATGAACGCATGCAGAAAGTGCCATTTATTTCCGATGATTTGGAGCTTGAATGTGAAGGAAAGGACAAATACAAGTGTGGTTCTAATGTTTTCTGGAAATGGTGAAAGGGGCAACATTTCCCTCTATCAAAATTCTCCTTGACAACACGCCATAAGTTTCTGCTGTATTGTAATTGTTATTATTGCAGTTGATGATGTTCTCTGTTGGCTGTAAATTCAAAAAGTGAGAAACTAAATGGAACTCGCCTCTCTTTTATTTGCGTCAAGCCCTCCAAAAGCAATGCCTTCTTTAATTTGTTCTTTCAAATTCATAACATCACTGCTCGGGGGACAAATATCAGGCTTACCTGCTTTTGCGGTCACTGTTCTAAAAATTGTGTGTTTGGGTAGAACTGACAAAATATTTTACTAAATCAGAATTTAAATCTTTTCAACCAAACACTTATATTTCTATCAATTCTATATTTTAATCTCTATTAATAAAAATAGCATATTTTAGTTTCTATATATATATATATATATATATTTTATTCTTTATAATTTTATAAACTTTACATTTTGATCTATATCATTTTATAAATTTTATTTTTTAGTTTCGATAAAACAAACAACAAGAACTAAAAGAGAACAAAAGTAATATATATAAAATATTAAAAGGTAAAGTTGGTAAAACTTTAAAAGAGTAATACATATGGGAGATTGAAAACACTCTTATAAAAGATAAGCACGCCAATTTGGACTTTGATACAAATGCTAATGTGGGGGAGGGTTTTATACAGGGTGTGCAAAAAATCTAAATTGATCCGAATCGATTCATAACCGATCTGATCTATATTGAAAAATTCAATTCATTTTGAAAAATAATTTGAACCGAACCACTTTATAAAACCGGTTCAATTATCCGATCCATTTTTACAAAGTGGATCGGTTCGATTCAGTTTGGTTTTTTTTAACAAAAATCGATCTATATATAAGTAAAAAGTGGATAACTGCACCGCATCGAACCGATCCAATTTCAAAAAAATCGATCTATATTTTAAAAAAACCAAACCGATCCACTGGTTAACCAATCCACTTTTATAAAACAGTTCGGTTTGGTTTGGATCGGTTTTTAAAAAACCGATCCATGAACACCCCTAATTTTATACTATACAAACATGTTATATACTATATAGACTTCACATGTTTTGACATGCTTTCCATTTACGTACAGAAATATACATTTTAACCGTAGGAAAGAGAGAAATAACATTATTGAATTCTCTTTTATCGCTTACACATGACATACTCTATTTAGAGTGATTGAGTATGCAAACTAACTAACAATAGCAACTGACCTCTAACAAAGTCACTAACTAATATTTAGTTGAATTAACTACAACACTTCCCTCTAATATTAAAGTACTCGAAGATATATATACCCAATTCAGCTTTCAGCTTCTCAAACGTATCTCTCTCTAGTGATTTAGTTAATACTATTTGTAATTCAAGTACTTAAAAGATATCATACTCAAGTGTCTCTGCTTAAGCTATCTATATATGTGATTAAGTGAGGATTGTTCCATTCATGCTATCCAGTTCATTGACTTGTTCCTATGTATCTTCAACTAATACTGAGAAAATGAATTTGAAACTACTGCCATGAGTCGTTTAGTCCCATGATTCTACTCTTTCACAACCACATCTCTGCTAATGCAATTTTTTTTTTGAGTTGTTGGAGTATAAATTAGTTTACGAAAATGCCTTTTAAAATTAAGTCGATGCTGTGATTTTTATTTTTTTATTTTTTATTTTTTATATTAAACAAGTCTATTAATCAGTTATTTTCACGATATAATCAATTATATGGACAAATCACACACTTATTAGAATTGGGTGGAACAAGGGCATAATGGTAAAACTTCCTCCTCTTTATATTCTCTGTTATAAAAGTTAACGAGAGACCTACCATTTTTTTTGGTGAATTGCATAGAAAAAAGAAGGGTTATAAGTTATAACACAAAGATACATGAAGTATATCAGTGTTTAGCCTATATAAATAAAAACGAGACATCAACTTTTTGATCAAATTATCAATTTTAGATAAAAACAATAAATAATTTAGTTTAAAAAATAAAATAAAGAAATTATTTAGAATATGTTGATAATTTTTATTTATTTATAATTTCATTCAATTATAAATTGTCTTATATTAAGTAATAATGTAAAAATATTTATTCAAACATCGTCTTAAAATTAAACTTTAAAATAAATCCATTTTAATTTTTGTTTTTGTGATGCATGCCTGTTTTAACTTGATTTGTAACATACTTTTTTTTAATGCAACCATTTGAAGAAGTTGAAAAAAAAACAATTATTTCTTCAAATACGTTTTTTTCCTAAATTATACTTTTTTTTTTATCTATTTATTTATTTTTAAGATTTAATTAAGTTATACTATTTAAAAAAAAGTTTAATTTAATTTTTTAATTTTTAAAATATATTTAATATTATCTGTACGTCCAAATTGATACTAATGATGTTAGTAAAATTAAATAAAAAAATAATATTGAACATTTTTTAAAATTTTAAAAATTAAATTGAATACTTTAAAAATAATATGACCAAATTGAATTTATTTTAATTTTTTTATCTAGATAAATTTGTTTATTTATCTTAACAAAATCATGAATGACAATAAATTGAATATTTAAAATTTAAAAGTAATCACATGAAAGAGCTATCTAATAAAATAAACTATTAAATAAATAAAAGAAAAATCAAATTTATTTTAAAAAAATATTAGATAAATTTCTATTCAATTTAATCCTCTATTTATAAAATATTTAATTTAATCCTATTATTTTTAAATGATTTAATTTAATTTTTTAAATGATATTTAATGTTACTCTTTTGCTGAATTTCATTAATATTGTTAATATTAATTTGGATAGAAGGATAATATCGAATATTTTTAAAAAAATAAAGGATCAAATTAAATTATTTAAAAATAATTAGATCAAAATAAATTTTAAAAATTCACAAAAAAATAAAAAATAAAAAATAAATAGAAAATTAAAAATATAATTTAATCCACATTCTCTTAATTTATTTGAGAAGTTTATACGTTATCTAATTTGAACATCAATTTAAAATATTAATGAAAAAGCTCAAACAGTGAAGCAATCCAGTATTGTAGGCTGGACCCTAAAAAAGGTAAAAAAATAAAAAGAGAAACCCAAAAGTGTAAGTAGGAAATTTATTTGGATTCGCACTCCCGCTAAACCGAAAATTTCATACAAAGTTAGAAACACAACAGAACCGGAATGGCGCGAAGGCAAAAGTAAAAAAAAAGAAGATGAATCCGCGTGATATCTGATAAGCAAATCGTAACCGTTGGATAAACGGTGACACGGATCGCTCCAAAGGCCAAAACTCCCTCCCTCCAAAATTTAAACACCTATAAAAGCAAACCCCATTCACTCCTCTCTCTCATTCCACCAAAGCGCAAAACAATCTCCTCTTTGAATCAATCTTTGAGATGGCGCGTACCAAGCAAACAGCCCGCAAGTCCACCGGCGGCAAGGCTCCCCGGAAGCAGCTGGCCACGAAGGCCGCCAGGAAATCTGCTCCGGCCACCGGCGGAGTGAAGAAGCCCCACAGGTTCAGGCCGGGAACGGTGGCTCTCAGGGAGATCAGGAAGTACCAGAAGAGCACCGAGCTTCTCATCCGAAAGCTTCCGTTTCAGCGTCTCGTTCGCGAAATCGCACAGGATTTCAAAACGGATCTGAGGTTCCAGAGCAGCGCCGTTTCTGCGCTTCAAGAAGCCGCTGAGGCTTACCTCGTTGGACTCTTCGAAGACACTAACCTCTGCGCTATTCACGCTAAGAGAGTCACCATTATGCCTAAGGACATTCAACTCGCCAGAAGAATCAGAGGGGAACGAGCCTAGTTTCATACTTCACTACCTCTTCTTTTCTCTTTATTTATTTTTATTCTCAGCATTCAGCAACCGCTCT